CTTTCCTTGCCAGGAGATGTGCATGAGATGCAGATTTGGCACAGAAAGAGAGGCCAATGGTTCCCCTCCATGAGGAAAACTCTTTACTGGGCTTCTGTGGCAGCTTTATGCCTTAGAGTCAACACAGATAGAGCCTCCAACCCTGAGTGTCTTCAGATAGGTAGTCGGGAATATCTTCAATAATCACACGCTCACCATCCACAGTTTCCAGGGATTTCTTCTATCGCTATTTAATAAATCTAAGGTAGACACTTGCAGGTGATTTCTAGGCATTTTGATGAGTATTATGAGTATGGATTGTTCATGGACTTGTAAACATTGAAGGAACTTTAGGGCATTTTAAAATTCTCCTGTAAAACAGCAGGAAATGGCAACTAGCAGGGAGCAATTAAGAAATGCTAAAGATCATTCGAAAGACTACTTACTGGAGAGATAATTAAAAGTCTGTGGGAAGAGATGATCTTGCATAGCCACAGGGTCAGTTCATAGAATCATAGAATCATTAAGGTTGAAAAAGACCTCTAAGATCATCAAGTCCAACCGTTAACCCAACACCACCATGCCCCCTAAACCATGTCCCTAAGCGCCTCATCTACACATCCTTTAAATACTTCCAGGGATGGTGACGCTACCACTTCCCTGGGCAGCCTGTTGAAGGTCATGCATTAAAAGGTGCTTCTCCCTAATTTTGCAACCTTGCGTATCTTGGGACATTCATGTTAGAAGAGATTAAACAGTGGGAATATATATCCAAATTAGTTAATGGATGGAATATTAAAAACGCTACAGCAAAGGATCCCCAAATGACCACTTGTTCACTATTGGGGAATCAATGCAAAGTACAGGTTTTCAAAGAGAAAATATTGGCCATAAGTGCTTCAGAAGCAGAAGAATCATCCGGCATGACTTATACCAGAGGTTAGAAGACACTTATTTTGTAAACAGGCTCCTGATCAAACACCATTCCAAACTGTGCAAAGCTTTTTTACAGGCACAATGCAAAGTGAAAGGAAGGAATGAGCTGCTTCCCTCCTTGTGCACCTCACACAGGAACTGGACATGTAAGCAGAAGTGAGAGGGTTTGTGTATCCTTATGCATTATCTAGAGCTGTCGGGAATTTATGCAGCACCGCCTAAATTCATATTTTTTGTTCCTAGTCAGAACAAATGGTCAAAAGAACTCATGAAATAGAAATTAAAAAGAAACACATTGCAACTATTGAAACATATGGTTCAATAACTCTAGAACATTTTTTTCACTTGTTGAAATACCAAATTCAAAGAAGGCAAAATGTATTATTTTGACAGTGTTAACATGAATGTAATATAAACACAACTAGTGAACACAGTATTGAATAGTTTTAAGGAAATTTAAATAAATATGAAATGAAAATGATAAAGTTGAAGCAAGGCATTTTTGCCTTGTAGAAGAAAAAGTTTCAGAAGTATTGACCTTCAAACATGAAAGCTGAAAAGCTCAACTTAAATGTTTCTTCTACAGAAGGCTGGCATATTGCCCCCAAAACTTTTCAGACTCAGTGAAACTGCATTTCTTATGGGGAGTTGTTCCAGAAAAACTCTTTTACCAGTTTTACTGCTCATCTCTTCCACTGGGATGGAAAGAAATAGGCAGAGAAGAGCAGATGCCCCAGGGCGCATCAGCTGGCTCTGCTCCCTGAGGCTTTGGGATGCAGAGCATCCCCAACAGCTCCTGCTGCTTACAAAAGTGACCCTCCACTCACACTGCGACTCCATCAGGGCTCTAGGCCACAATTAAGCCTGAGGGAGTGAATTAAGGTTCTGGGGATAGATAGCTGACAGGAAAAGGTGAGACCTCCTTTAAATCGGGCACCATCAGTTTTAGGCAAATGGGAGAGGGTCTGGGAGGTGGCAGAAAGAAGGAGCAGAGCTCTAGGAAACACTTATCAGGAGAATTTGGAGCGGTTTGGTTTGTTTTACCTGGAAAAGAGAAAGGCTGAATCATAATGTAGTGCAAATATGTAAAATTAGCAGGAGAGACTGGTAATCTGTTGTTTGTGTCCACTGAGGGTTAAACAAGAAGATAGCTAATTAGCAGCTAGGATTTGGGTTAATTATTAGAAAGAAGTCTTTCCAAACCACTAGGTAAGCAGGTAAAGCAGCTCTCTCCAAAGCTTGTTTAAGCAAGGTTGTGAAATTTCTTTCACAAGAAGCTTTAATAACAGCCTAGACAAATATCCGTCAGGCAGTGGTCTGCGTACATTTGCTCCTGCCGCAGGGAAGCGGGCCAGGCTAGGTCTTTGTGGTCCCTCCCAGCTGTACTTTCCTTTGATACTTTGGGATGTGTTTCAGTGCTGGCTTTGGTTTTCCCAAGAGCCAGAGTTTCTGAATGCTGACAAAAGCAGCTTCTTGGAGGAGGCTGGTGAGAGAAAACTGAAAAGAAAAAGGGCTTAAATAACAATTTAAAAAAATGAGTCAGTTAGCTCTCTTCTCCCAAACTAAGGAAGCAAAAAGATCTGTAATCTCAGCTACAGGACTTCTTGATCATTTTGGTTTGTATTGCACTGTCTGTCTGAGTTTGGTCTATTCAGGACCACAACCTGTTTTCTCCTTTATAAATGGGATAGATGGTCATTGCAGTGGTCTGAATCCCTGCTGGAAATAGTTCCTCATCGTTGCTTATTTTTGTAATTACTGGATGAAAGTTTGCTTTTTTGGCATATCGTTCATGCACAGGGCCCAGAATCTCCAGCGCAGGATGGGGCAGGCTGCAGCCATAGGCATCCTCTGCCAGCAATTTCCTCAGTTACATGGTGCAATCTTGTTTTGCCACTTATAAATCTTCCTCTTCTCCCTGAGAACTAATATCCTTCCTTGAGAAATAAGCTCAAGGTAAAGACTAGTGGCAGAACAAATGGCAAGCAGAGCTGCGCTGCCACAGAGGCAGGGAAAGCCACTGAGTGCCAGAAGCCTTTAATTTCAATAGAGCAAAATATATTACTTGGGCAGTGTCAAAGTATAAAACACTCTGGATTATAATCTGTTTGAGGTTATATACCACCCTTTGTGCAGGGAGAATGAACTTGTGTACAGCTGCTTTTACAGAGGGGCAGATTCTTAGAGATCCCGTAGGGGACAGATATCCTTATGGAAAAGGAGGGTCAGACCTGCCTCATCTTGTGTTGGCAAATATCACGCACACTGCAAGGTATGAAAAGAAAAAGAATAAGGGAGATAAATCTGACTGTCTATGTCCACGTCTTTTTTCTATAGCAGGTTAAAAGGCAGCAAACCACTGCTCAAAGGAAAGGTTGCTCCCCAATATTTGGGGGAGAGAGCAAACTCTACAGTGTTCATTGCCTGGAGTTGCAGTCACTTTTGGACAGTGGATTTAGTTCTTTAAAACTTCAGATACCTTCAAATCTGTTCAAATTTTGAGGAAGTCCCAGATATTTGACAAGCAAGGTATGCAGAATCAGGGCCTGAAGAGCAGCAGTATCGCATATTCTCACAAGGGAACAGAGAAAGCAAGTGAATGATCTTTACTTCAAAAGAAAGACTGCTCAAACCCACACAAAGCAAAATCTAAAGAGCTGATTTCAGCAATGATCTTCTCCTTGGAAATCTTTTGTACTTAGAAATAATCATGCCCACATTACACAAAACCTAATAAATTTTGAGTTTGGTTGATTTCACTGAAAAGTTTTGGTTTCCGACTCATGGCTAAAGTGTCTTTTTGAAAACATTGAACACTGTGTTTCATTGCAGGGGCGCTGATTTTCAGATTAAAATCTGAACCCATTAAATTACAAGCCACGATTACATCCAGCTGAAATTCAGGTCCCGACACTCATAATATTATACAAATTAGGATCATGAAGAATATTATGACCTTGAAGCTATAAAAGACTGCAAATTTGCAGACATACCATTTAAAATGCTTTGAGCAAACCTAGATCTAATACTTAGCATTCAATACAGGAAATAGTGTATGATGATCATTAGAAATAAGCTGAGAATATGACCAGTAACGTAGCATGTCATAAAGAGTGTAGGTCAATCTAGCTTCAGTTAGGCTAAACAGACCTTACAGATAAGAAAATGTTGGAGGTGCAAGACAAACGTGTAGGCAAAAGCTTACAGGAAACAGTTCCAGTACAAATAGCCAATAAGTGTCATCTTTGCCCTATAAAAATTAAAGTGGATCACATGGTCATATCTGAACACCTTATTTAGATTTAGACACTGTGTGTTATCAACTCAGGTAACAAAAGCAGGCTCAGATCCCTGACTGACCCTTGGTTCATGCAGAGGTACCCAACTGCAAAAGCCCAAACCTCTCTTAAAACTTAGTTGCTGAACTTTGGTAAGTTAGGAAAGATTTGCCCCAACAGGTAATGTGGCAATCAGAAATTCTTCAAAATAATACTTACTTTTGATTTTACATATTTACTTTTCCTCTTTCTTTGGCGCTTGTTCCATTCTCCTTTTATATCCACAGTCACCATGTTTCCTACCTATCACAGTAGCACTTGAACTTGCCATGTAATCTGACGTACCTGTATTGCATTGTTCTGTGTTTTGTCACTGAATTTGCATTGTTAAATTGCAATATAAAAATCTTTTTACAAAAAGCTTTAAAAGCCTTACTTCCTTGAAAGAGGTTCCTTGGAAACTGTTATTCTACCCCCAGCTTAATTTCAAATTTGTTGTTGAGTTTTGCCTATGCAGTGGAAACAGTCTGTGCAGAAACCACCGAAATGTCGGTGGAAGCCCCGAAGTTTCAAAGCAAAAATCAAAGTATTTTGACTGAAAATTCGATGCCATTCACCACACAAAGATGACAAGATAACAGATGGTCTTCTCCAAGACTGACTCACCACAGAGAAGTTCATTCCCAGTTTAGGTACAGTAATCACCATCTGAGGAAAGCACACTGAGTTCAAGTTGATTCCCTGAGCTGTGATTGTACTTCCACCACTGGGAAAAATTAAAAAAAAAAAAAAAAAAAAAAAAAAGAAGATGAGTAGGATAATGATACATCTGCTATGATAATCTTAATTACAAATTATATTTTAGAGTAAATGACAACATAAAACCAGAATTAGGGATATATGGGGTGAATGCAAATACATAGCTCTGAGCAGTGAGATTATTTTTCTGGGAAACAAATTTTACATTTGCTATAACAACTAATCAAATTCAAGAAAAGAAAAATAATTTTTAAAATTGTGGTATGCCAGGATATAAAACAAATGTGTACATTTTAAAGGAGGGTGTATACTTGTACTTAGCATTTGCTAACTTAACTTACTGCTTTCAGTGGTGCTGAAAAAGTGCCTTTTTTACTGCTGACATTTTTTTGGCAAAGGCAGATGGCCTGGATTAGAGCTACTGAGACCATAAATATGTCACTTAAAAACACACATATACTACCATACATATATATTCATAATATTTATGTAGCGCTGGATTTAGACTATTTTAAAATCCATTTGCTCTCCTGAGTACCGCTGACTTGTCACATTAAATGATTTTCCTCACTAATCAGCGTAATGTCCAGACGCAGTATAGGAGACACACTTAGCTGTGCAGTAGGTATCTCAGCAGGACATCACAGGTACGCTCAGCAGCAGCTAGGAGTTAAATCACATAAAGAAAAGAGGCGCCCTTCCCCATTCTCCCTCACCTCTGAAAGGAAATGATCTGCCCTCTGCAACTGCACCGTAATAGAAGCAATTGGCATGGCAGATAGAGATAAAAATGCAATTTCTTTTGATAGATTGCTGCGCAGCGTAGCCATTCTTCTTTCATTCATTACTTTTCTTATTTCTATAAGAAACTTTTACTCACCTAAGAAAAGATTTGGCCGGATGAATTTTTAAAACAACGGGGTCTTCTCTGTATGTGAAATGACCGCTCGCGTCTCGAATAGCTTCGTCGATTCCCACCTTCACACGATATTCCTGGGGAATTCGTTGTGCCGGGGTGTAGCACTCCACAGTGCTCATTGATATGCTGGAAGGACAGAAAAAGGCTTGCTTGTCAGCATTGTAAAACATGCACTCAGTTTAAAACACTGTCCTTTAGTGACCCCCAACCTTGCCTAAGGATCCGCTTGTCAAAAAATGTCATTGATTCCCACACTGGATGATTATATTGCAACAAATAAGCATGGTGTGAGGTAGAAACAGCAACACCAACTGCTTAGGCTCAAGATTCATCTTAATTTGGTTGACTTGCACCTTGCCTGCTGGAAGGTGTTTTCCCAGTGCTGGTGACAGCCACGTCAGCCCCTGCATTCTGCAAAGGCAGCTTCCAGCCTGGAAAACAACAGCATGCTCCAGGTTTAAGGATAATGACTTGTTCTGCTGTAACCAAGGGATAACATCTTTCTCTTTCCAATCCACAGGATTTACCCTATGTTAAAACCTCAAGAAAAGGTGCTGGTGGGGAGTGTACCAGCATGTCAGAGATGAGATGTCCCGCCCTGGGGGCACCTGCTGACTCCAGGCGCTGCTGATGGGCAGGCAGAGGGCAAGGAGAAGGGAGGAGAAGGTGAAAATTCAGGAAGAGCTGTCTGAATTCAGCACAGCCACAGAGTCTCTGGGATATTCACCTTTCCCTTGCTTTCTCATGCTTGGCCCTGGAAGTCTTCCCCCTACACTGAGCTCAGTGGGTGAGCGGGCAGCGGAGGGATGAAGGATCCTGAAGCTTGAAGCACATGAAGTGTGGCCGCAGGGAGCAGGACACATCAGAGGCAAGGGTAACAACTGATTGGAGAAGCAAATGTAACTCTACCAGCTGGTTTCAGTGATTTGGCCCAACCACATCCAGGAGCCCTTCAAGTGAGGCCATTCTCAAAGTATGTGAGAGATTGTCTCCAAATTAGACAAAAGAGGCATTTGCTGCCACTTCTGAAGCTTTCCAGAAAGGTGGAGTCCACCGTGTGCTGTAGGGGTTAGTGATTTGTTCATATGTATCTGGAAGCTTTTTACCATCTTTTAAAGGGAAAAATAAATCCTTGATCTAGCTGCCCTCAGAACTGGGGAAAGCTGCCAGTTTAGACAGAGAAATACCTGCCCTGAGAATCTGGCTAAGACCTGTGTAGAAGTCTCCAGACAACTTGGCCAGTGAGAAAGAGGGGTGCTGGGGATGCTTACTGGATAAGCCCCAACTACGGTTCGATACCTAGAGGTCCACCTGACCAAAGCAGATGTCTGCCTCTGAGCTGTCTGTCATCTCACTCCCACAGTAGATGTCTCAAATGGACCAGGTGAATCATTCCCAAAAGGTTTATGTATTTGTCCATTAGTTGACCAGCTGAGATGATGACATCAATAAATGCCACCCTAAACTATTAAGTAACCACTGAAGAGAAGTGCTGAAGATCTTGGTAGTGATTAAATATCAGACTTGAATACCTAAATCCCTTTCTTGATTTAGTCAGACTTAGCTGATTTGATCAAGAGCATACAATAAATCATTTAGCAGCAAAGAATAAAATTTAGCTCTCCTGACTTTGAGTCTGACATCAACTAACAGGTTACTACTTCCCCCCGTTCTCCACAAGTGTGATGTTTCGCCACTACAACTTTCCATAATCATTAGGAGAGACTCAAAATTTAGAGGAATTGCTGGACATCCTGTTCCTGGAACACAGTGGGCCAGATTCTGCCCTTGGCTGCAGAGGTGACAATTCTGGAGCCACCCTGCTGTACCTGAAAACAGGACCAAGCAGGATTTGCGCCATGGTAGAATGGCTGCCAAATTCAGAACACTTGTCTGCCCATAGCAGAGACTCTATGCTTGGTATTTAATATTAATATTCAGCTGGGATTGAAGACATTTCCACACAGAGCATGTCAAAGATTTTTGACTGAGTGCCTACTGGATCCAGTACAGAGCCACAAGAAATTCTGGCTTAATCCTCAAAACAAGTTTATATACACCAGGAAAAGTCCCAAACTGATGCTGCCTCTGGTTTGGAGGCTGCTCACTGATATTAACGCAGAAATAGCTGCTCCTCTGCACGTGATACATATTCCCACACTGGTCAGGTTTCCACTGAACAAACCAGTAGGAAATGGTAACCTGCACCCACTGGACGTCACTGGGAGCTGCTTCATGCTAATACAAGAGAGACGGCTGAGTGTGTGGGAGTCAGGGTGACAAAAATGATGGGAAATGGGCAGTTTCTAGTCCATTAGAAGTTGATTTGCTACTTCTCTATGCAACCTTTTAATGAGGTTAATGAAGGCATTACAGAATAAACAAGTCTTCTAGGGAATCGTAGTCCCTTCTAGGAACCTTTCAGGCATCCTAAACTCAGGAGGTAATCCAGAACTGAATGCTTATTGCAGTATCAACTCTCCGATATGTAACACAAGGAGGGGAGAGCAATGCACGTTTGTGGGTTTTTTTTTACTCCAAGACATTTTAATATTAAAGGCATCACTTTTTAGTAAGTACATTACCTTTTCAAGGTGCATGGTTTCTCACCAACAAAAATCCTTCTGGATTTTCCACTGTTTAGGTATTTTCCAGCCACAGTTAGTAATGTTCCTCCAGATTTGGGGCCATAGGTGGGAGAGATACTTGTTATTACAGGATTCTGAGCGGGGGTAAAAGTAAGAACAGTGGATTGTTAAATTATTTTCAAAATGTGAAGAGGAAGAATCTTAAAACATTTATTAGCATTTCCATGAAGTAATCATAAAGCAAACAGGAATATAGAATTACCATACTGGATTGGACTCATGAGGAGTTTCCTTCCAGTTAATATTGAAGCTAATTTTGAGAATAAAGTTTTAATCATAGTGCTTACCACGTACGAAAATGTATTGAATAGTGTTTTGTCATGTCCAACAGAAACACTACTGGATATATTAAAACTTGGATTTTTTGCAGCAGGAACTGTGCATTCCAGCCTTTGGAAAACAAGGAAAAAGATGGGATTACATTTTTTTTCTGGCTTGATTTTTTGTATTAAAATAGAACCACTTCAAATTCATAATAATGGAGGATCCATACTAAACAAATCATCAATCTATGTGCGTCAGGGACATTTCAGAAATAACAGCTGAAAGAACTGTGGTCATCTTATTTAATACTAAATACAAACACTGTGGTGTTTATACTTCACCAGAGAAAATAATTTTAGTATATCAAATAAATTTCAGAAAAAAAGAAGAATGCTAGAGAAAACAAATACCTCCCATTCAATGGCTGAGTTGGTTTTTGGAATTTTCCTTTGCTGCCAAATTTTGGCAGACAACAGGATTAGAAAAAATGCATCATATACACAAGTTTGTTGTATAAATTTAAATATTACCAAAAATTAAACTTGAACTTTTGTGGCAGCATGTGTCAATGTATTACATTACATTTACACAGTCTCATATATGAGCTAGTCTCCTTAAATCATTTTGTTTGCATTAGGACTGTTCAGAATAGCAGTTAGGAGAGTGCTCAATACTTCTGGAGGGTGATCTTTTTGCTGCTATATGTATGAACAGGGAAGCTGTGCCATGATTTGCACATTGCTTTGGTAGTAGATAGTCATATGCTTGGAACTGAGAGAGGATATTCATTGAACTTCCTATTTCTTCAAGATAACAACCGGAATAACCTCTGTCTTAAACTTAAGCCATTATCCCACTATCTCAGATACTTATTTCTGAGGAGGAGGAGGAGAGGTGCAGCTGAGGGTCATAAGCCTCTGGATGACGAAATACCTGCATCTTCTCACATTTCTCTCCAGCAGCTTCACAGACCAGGAAGACGGAGGTGACATAAATGAACCCAGCAGGATCCCGGCCAAAGGAACCTGCCCCCTTTTCAAACCTTTGAATAGTTTCGTTCTTGCCAGCTCCCACAGATGTTGAACAGCATTTCGCAGACAAACCAGAAAAAGCTGCTGCAGGAGCTACTGGCATTAACTAGATTTATTTGATCTCCATTTCGAGCATTTTTTTCTTGGGGAGCTTATGAAACCAAGGGATTGTTTCCTGTTTGAAATTTCAGAATCGGAGATGACACTTGTAGACTGAATGTTTATATCGTAAAAAAAATCCATACCACATAAAGAACATCTGTGTAAAAGGAAATTAATATTTTAGGTTTCTTACTTGTTTTTGTTGCTAGATTTTGCTTCCAGAGCACAAATTTGTCCTCCGATATGGACTACTGTATTTTTTAATTCAAATCTATTATTTTTGCTGAATCCAAAGTCCCATCCACACAGTGTCAGTTTTGTCCCGCCTTCTAAGGGAGCGCTGCTCGGGAAAATCTGGCAAAAAAATATTGTGTTAGTTACATCAGGTATTCTCGAACTTCAAATGGAGTTAAAGAATGTGCAAAGGAATAATTTTAGAAAAGCATTTCTTCTGGTAGACTGTGTCCTAGCATTCATCTTAATTGTTCTTCACCTTTCATTTGTCACATTATGAGCTTTCTCTGACAGTAGCAATAAATAACAAAACCTACACTAGAAAGCTTTGAAGGATAGTGTTTAGGGGCACTGAACAAGCTGTGCATTGTAACAGTCTTTTAAATCCTGCCGTTCTTGTCTTTCACATCTTATTTCTGGCATGTTAAACATACAATGTACTTATTTTGTTAGAAGCTGAATGCTGAACACAAAAGAGCCCCAAAAATGACCATTTTTTGTCACTTTGATGAAAGTCAGGTTCAGAGTGAAGTGGCTTCAAAGACACCATAATCCAATATTGCATTGGCTGTGATAAAGTTAACGTGACTTCTGCTATTCTTTCCTTAAATCTTTTACATTTGGTCACCTCTAATTCCGAGTTAAAAATAAACTACCCCTCAGAAACACAGAGACAATCTACAAAGGAAATGCTTTTTTTTCTGTATATTGTAAATTGTCCTGTAAAATATAACAATGGTGGGAAAAATGTAGGAACACTATAGAAGTCTTACAAAACTCAGTAAAAGTACTGGTCAGTACTGCCAGTAAAAAAAAAAATCAAAAAGACATTGGTTCAGGGTTTATGGGGACTTTTAACAATACTGCATAATTTTGCAAACATACCAGTACCACTGGACAAACAACAGAGAATGAAAGACTGAATTTATACTTGTGGTCATAGTGCCTAAATGAATTAGATTTAATGCTTTAGTGATAGTAATTTTGCCCCTAAAATGCAATACAGCTGTGCCTTTCAAAGGACCCGACTTCATTTTCAAGCTGAAAGGAAAGTGTTTGAGAGATACTTGGCTATTATTTCATCTGGAAATCCAGTAAGACAGCACATTTCTTTTCAACTCTCTTGTAGCTATACTTCAAGACTCTCACAAATGAACTATTGTAGATAGAAAGGCAGCTGAAGAATACTTCAAAAGAATTATACCATATATTCTATACAGGGAAATTTACTGCCCCCATTAGAAACCAGACAAAGAGTCTGATCTAAAATGCACTGAAGCCAGTAGGGATTTTTCCTATTTTAATGAGCTTTGAATCAGCTCTAAATGACCAAAGAAGAGGGAACCTATGCAGGAACAGTACTTTTGCACAAATCCCATAAAAAAAGGAGTGATGCTCGCACAGCCCCCTGACACACAACACTGCAGCTAAGAGCGTGGCGTCGTACTGTACCCTGTGGAGTCTGTGCTATTCCCAAGTTTAACTTTCCCTTATTTCTTTGGTTTTTTTTTCTTTGAAATCTGGATTGACTTCAGATCCTAGTTTTCCACTCTATTTAATATCTCAGCACACTAACTATTTTTGGAGTAACAAAACCCTACCAGAAACTGAAATTGCTCTGTGGGGGTACAGGATGTCTCAATGTTTTGTACAATAGTGCACTGACGTGTGGCATTTGAAGAGTTTGAAATGTAATCCATAAGTTAGCAAAATAAGGGTGTTAAAATCAGGCTTCACAAAGCCTTACAGAATAAAAAACGAAGGCACTTAACTGGCTTTGAGTGATCTTATCTGCCAAAAGAGACTTTTGATAGCAGCCCATGTGCCTTAATTGAGGGAGAGTGAAAGTATTTACTACATTCTGCCAGCAAATTTAGAAGGCAAGACCTCTAAGTGGATAGCAAAAAATAAACCAAATCTTAAACTTTTGTATTTAAGTTCTGCAGAAATTCCCTCAGAGTGTTTTTATTCATGTCTTTATTTTTGTTCCATTTGTTCTGTATGATGAAACCTCTGAAAGTCAAATGTGGTTTCCCAGACTTGTTCATGGGACAGTCAACAGGAATGAATAGTGAACCTCTTGGACTTTGAACTGAGTTATATGTAGGCATCTTCTGTGTGCTTACATCGCGCAGGTAGTAACAGAAAGTAAGCAAAATCCAAATCAGTTATAAATGCTATGAAATTTAGGACTCAAAAGTTCTCTATAGCAAGGAAACTCCACTAATAACATGGAGCAAGTCCTGCTGCAAAGCCTGCCATTCTGCTTGTCCCTGCTGCTCTCTGGACTTGGGGTTAAGGGAGAGAAAGTTAACTTTTGTTTTTCTTTTTTGGAAAAATTTTAAGCATTGTGTTTTCCTTTTGCTTACGCTGACAGCCATTATGCTAATATCCACTCATATATTTTATAAATTGTTGGAAGAAAGCATCTATTTATTAAAGTTTCAACGGCCCATTCATTTTAATTAAGAGGCAAGAACATGTACAGGCCACATGTGAAATTTCCAGCAAAACCTCTGACCTAAACAGGCAGCAGAAGGCCCGATGTTCTTGATACGTCTGAGACAAAAGCCAGCTAAAATGACTCACTTTAAAAACAACAAACCATGTCAGGTTTTTAATTACAACAAAGAATCGAAGGGGAGACCAATTTATTTCTTCTTTTACGCCGTTCACCTTTCAGCACGACCTGAACGCTGCACGCAGATGCCTGCAATTTGTTCCAGCACCAAGTGATCTCCGAGGAGACTCCCTCGAGTCCCCTGGCTTTCCTCTAGCACCGCTTGTACAGGCTGACAAAACGTGCCGCGTTGCTGGCAGCGGTGGTGGATGGGAGTGGGGTACGGTGCTGAGGTGCGGGGTGGGAGCCGGGCTGTGGTGGGGACGTGTCCCGGTGCCAGCCCTGCTGCACTGCCTGTAGCAGGGGGATGCCTGGGCAGCGCTGGAGCTCTGCACTCCCCGCAGGGCTGGGGTGCAGGGCTGCTCCCTGCCACCACGGCTCCAACGAAAAGTGCTTAAAGCAGGGCAGAGAGACGAAGGATCTGCAGGACTCCATGGGAAAACACTGTGTTTCTTCTCTGGCATCCCTCATGAGGGGAAAATCTCTTTTTTTTTTCCATTGTGCACCACTCTGTGTAATAACCTGGGAAAACTTTGTTGAAGACTTAGCTAACGTCCATTGGACCAGACCCTCGGAGAAGCTCTGCGTTCCCCTCAGGTTAAAGTGATCGTATGACATATCTCAAGCAATCTGCCCTTCTGAAAGCCACAAAATATTAGAGGGGGTTTGGACTGAGTTTCAGATACTATGCAAAGCAGGTCATCCTCTGTTTGTTAGGAACAAAACAAGCTTGTTTCTCATATTTTATGCATATGGGTTTAAAGACAGATCAGAAGATGATGAATAATCTGTTTTGTATTTTTTTCAGTAATAATGTTAAACGTCATGGTCCAGTAGAGCATGAAATCTGTCTTAACAGCTAGCAATCCGAAGGGATTTAAGTACTTAGCTGCATTTTTTTCCTTAGAAGCCTTCTAGAAGCAACTTCTACCAACGTGGGCACGCTGTAATTTGAGATTCACTTTAAGATCCATCAGTGCCACAGATCCATATTCCTTACAGGGGTAGACTGGGCTTGTGCTGAGCAGGCAGGGCTGAGCCACACGGGGAAGGGGAGCACCCGGCCGGCCCCACGCCTGCTTCCACTGCCCCACATCCAAGGCAGGGTGATTCATCCCAGATGAGTCCTCCTGCGACTTCACAGGGACTGCAGAGGTGGCCTTGGGGACGCACCTCGCAGTCTAAGCATCTTTGCATGGGCTCCAGGTGCTTGCTTCTTAAAACTGCTGAGTGCACACACTCATAATTGAAATCAAAGAGGGCTATATGAGCTGAGCACCTCTGAAAATCAGAAACTAAGCAGTTCAGAGCCTTGGAAATCTTTCTGGAGGCGTGGCAATACATAGCCACTGCTGGAAAGTTTTGCCAAGAAAAAATATTAAGGGATGCTACTTGTGCTTGAGCGCTAGGAAAGACAACAAGCTGTGCAGTATAGGTGTGAGTAGCTTGGTCCTGCAGAGGTATATAAAAATTTATCGGGACTAATTCTCAGTGTATCCCTTTGAATTGGTGATTCATAGTCTCATACAAACTAAGGCCAGAAAGGACTATTTCATCATCTAATACAGCCTTTTTGAAATAAATGTGTTCTTGTATAAAGGGAAAGTAAACTATTCACATTCTGCGTTAGCAATTTTTTTACACCTCCTTTGCCCAAAGGTAAATGGCGATAGAAGGCAAGGCAAACACACACACCCCCCCCTTTCCATCCATTTTGGGTTTGATTCCTATAATGCTTCATTGTTTGTTCATTGAATTTTGCCTGTGTTAGTCCTAAATTTTGTATCTGAAAGATATCTGAAAGAATCTGAAAGAAAAATACCCCCTGTAACATGTGTTTCTAGATTTGTTTCTAGATTATTAGCAGTTTTGCCCGTCTACTCTTTACAAAGTTGTTGCACATGAAATCATCTGCCCGGTTGAAAGAAATACATTATTTATTTAAAAAAACCTTTTGTCTCCCTTTCTCTCTGAGACTTTAGCATGTCAAATTTTCATCTCCGTTTGTAAGCTGTATGCCCATAAAGGAAAATATATTTTTGACTACACAGGGTAGTTTAAATGCACTAACAAAAGTAAATGGGTATAAGTGCTACCAGAAAGTTTTATGCTTGTCCTTCCCTCAGTTTTCTAGTCCGTTAACTGCCCTATAAACCTCCGCCTTCACAACTACGTCACACTTCACGGGATAATTCGGTTACACGTACAGCTGGCCAGTATGGATCCTGCGTTAACCATAGCTAAATTAAAACAGGAACGTGCCAGTGTGGCTCTCTGCTCGTCCGTGCGGTTTCGTTCTCGCACAGCCTGGATGGGCTTTGGCCGGCTGGCAGCAGCCTCCGGCTGTCCCGTCCCAGGGAGGGGTGCAGCTAGAGGCTCGTCCCCCTTGGTGACGAGTGGACCCATGGGAACAAGGAGCCAGGGAAAAAACGTCTCCCCCAGGGTGGTGTTTTGGTTGACAGAGCTTAGGTAGGGGAGAGAGGGACTTTTCCCCACAGGGAAACACCACCCTTTCCTCCAACGCTGGGGCCAGCATGGGGACGGATGAGGAGCGGGGGCCGGAGACCTCCTGCGTTGGGTCAGGCTGTGGCAGCCGTGGGCGGGAAGTGCTTTCCTCCACCTCCTCCCTTTGAGAGGGGTCTGAGAGGAAGAGTGATCCTTTTTGTGACTGGCCTTTCCCGTCAGACCCCTGCCAGGCTGGCTCAGACCCATGTTGTTTCCCCACCACGAGTGCTTTGCAGGCCGGAGGCTCGCCCGTGGCCAGCCAGGCCGATCACAGACCTGTCCACTGTCAGCACCTGAGCCCGCAGCATTCAGGGGGAGTACGTGCATCCAGCCAGAGGCTTTATGGACACTGAGGCCGAGGGGAAGTCGAGGAGAGCAGACACTTCATTTATCATACTTGCATAAAAATAAACAGAAAATGTCTGCAGAGCGCAGACCGCGTTCTTCCCTCAGAGATAAATATGAGAAATCCACCGTTTTACCTCGTACACCCTAGGCAAGCAGGTCTCCCGGGTCCAGGTGCCGCCAGGGCACTCGGGGGACCTGAGGCACTGCTGGCGGCACCAGCCACACTGCATGAAGGGAGGTGCCAGCAGGCACTGGCTGCAGGACCTGAAGTGATGGCAGCCCGGCCCCTTCAGCGGGATCTTCGTTATCTGTCGACGGAAAGACATGATGCACAGACCCTTTTAATACACATACGAAGCGGCAAGGAGAGTCTCTATTTATGCAATGCGCTGTGCTGCTACTCAGATTTCAGATGTGCAAGCTGCGGTTCGACTTCTCTTTAGCTGAGTAATTATAGGATCTTATAAGTAATTTAATTGACATGATTTTAAATTCGCTTGGGAGAAACCCTAAAGGCATCTTAATGTTATATACAGCTACTACCAGCATCTGGTGTTTACAGCAAGATAACATTTTTTGCTGATGGAAAAAGAAACAGCAGTGTGCTCTTCCCAATTTTGCACTAGTTCTTGGAAAAAACTGTGTCTCAGTATATCTTAGTCCATACGTCTGTAAAAATAGGCATGATGGCTATTTCAACTTTGGTGAGGCTGTATTAATATCTGTGACACACTTACAGCACGTGACTTCCCATGTACTTGTTTTTTAACACCTATCATCAAAAACCCCATACTATGCCTAAAATATGAACTAAAATTTGTATTATTTAAAATATCAGGATAGTTATGATAGTAGTCACTCTAAATATATAAGAATTATTTTTAGTCAAAATATTAAAATTAGTATATAATTACATTACTATATAAGTACATCATACTTCTTTACACTTCAGTACCTTCCTTAAACTTATTTCGGACATTTTCTTGAAGATTACTTTTATAAATATCTCATACATTTCTAGTAAATGATTAATAACCATCTTTACTAATGGCTGATGTATTTCTGTAAATTCTTATAGAACTCAAAGGGTCAAATTATTGCTTACGATTATGGTTTAGGATTATCTGTAATATTATCTGCTGATGTTTTAAACGCATTCTACAATGCATATCTACTTATGACAACAGCATATTTATGACAGCTCTTCATCTTTTATTAACCCTTTGTAGACTACATGCTAAAGCAATCTTCAAACCTTACTATGAATACTGACTCCCAATTTTAAACACACCCACATAACTCTTGCACACACACCCCTCCTTAAAAAGTTATAATGTTATGACACAAACCAACAAAAGCCAGGAAACTATGAGCACCATTCTTTCCTTAAGCCATTGTGTGTTTTTTCTTTGCAAGCACTTGAATTTAGGACAGGGTTTCAGCCTTAAAATTTGCATTTCCTGGCTTTTGTTGGTTTATATCACAGCTCTTACATTATTTAAACATTTCTCAATATTAGGCTGTCCGTTTGTTTAGTAGGGAAAAAAAATCTTGGAGGAAACTTGCCCCTCCAATGTTCCCAAGGGAATGCCAAGGCTGGGAGGATGCAGAGCAAAAACCAGCAGTGTGAATAGTTGCTCTTACTGAAAGTTGCTGCTCTGACGGCAGGTTTATACGGCGCACAGAAGGATTAGATTATGAACCACTCACCTTTTTCCCAGTCACTACCAGGGTATAGCCATCATCTGCTAATGAATTCTCGACAACAACTTGGGGAGAGACGGGGTGGGAGTCTAGCTGAAAGCTGACATGTGGAGCTGTGCGTTCTGAACGGGAAACCACTATCTAAGAAAGAAAGAAATTGGGAAAATCAGCAGGCAGCATGTGACACAAATGCATGCTGCTCAGCGGTCTCACGTTCCTACCACTTCTCTGCTTGCATTAATTACTTTGCATTACATTGCATAATATTTTGCATAATGTTCCATCATGATCTGATTAAAGCACTATAAAATCTACTTTATTCAACACAGCAAAATCATGGCTGTTGGAGAATCCTCAAAACACATCATATTTATTAAAATATGAAGGGGTCATTGCATGTTTTCTAGTCCTTTAATTTCAGGTATTTATAAATCAACCGTCAGCCCTGTACATTTAAGAAAGAAGAATTTTATCTGCAGCGTCTATTTAAAAGAATCTTAAAACTCCAGGCCTTCAAAAGTCAAAGATATTTCCATTTATTTTCACTTTGGTCCTTCAGTTTGAAAAGTAAATTTTAGCCTGTGTCAATAGTATCTGGTCTCGATGCATGTGGGGCCATTAGAGTGCAAAGCTATGGCAGGCGCAGGTTGCACTGTGAGCAGCTCTACAGAGCTGCAGGTACATGGACCTCGACTCCCAGAGCTGGTGAGGTGGCTATTGCTACAGACGGGCTCTTTGCAAGACATGGCTGGGCACCTCGAGATCTGGCTCCTGCTGATTTCTGTGGGAGCCGGGTGTCCAGGACAGAGCACTCAAAGCACCTCTTAAATGACAGGGAGAGCTGGAGGCTTCTCTGGAAGATGTTCCAGAACAGGAGCCTAATTTAGTTGTCCTGAAGCTCCTTTGCAAGAGCCCTCTCTCTCTCTCTTGATTTTAGGAGATCTTAGGGAGATTAGTCACACCAGTATGAAATTCCCCCACTAGTCATCTCTCTGCATCTTGAGTTACCTAAATACTTCAGAGAATTTGGGCCTATTCCTGCAAACACACGCTTAACTTTACTACTGTAACTTTGTTGACTTTAATGGCATGAGTCATGGCTGTTAAGCACAGGCATAAAGCATCTGCAGATTGGGGTGGATATTCGATAGCAAGATTTTATAGGCTTGGGCCTGCAGTCCAGAAGGATGTGCGCTCAAATGTGATAGCATCAGGCAACAAAGACAGAGGATTGTTTACATGAGGGAAGATCATGTTCATGTTTCAAAAGCTGCATCACGTGTAGTTTACTTAAGGAATTCAGATAATCAACGTTTGCTGAGAAGTTGAGATTCAATGGGGTTCATTATTTAAAAAGATTGAAGCCATTCTGGAAAAAACTTGTATGTCAAATGTTTAATTTTTCACCATAATGAAGCTTTTCTTCTGACTCCGAAGGCAGCATCAGAACAGCTAGGACATTGACTTACACGATTTCACTGGCTTTTCGCACTGCCAAGGTCTTTCAACAAGATGGCTGACTCCAAAACTAGACTTAGAGATGCTGTAATTACAGCTGATGTTTTGTTGTAATTCAAGACTTAAATAAAATATATGACCAGTTAATTTGTGGCATAAATGCTTCACATCCCAGAGGTATTTACAGTTTGGGGTTACATTTTTCTTTAAAATGAAACTGGCTTTGTTAAAGACTTTGCTATGGGTTTGTTTCACAGTACAGAAAGTGCAGCTTTTAGAAATCAATAAGGTCTGATCATTTTCGGTGACACAGAAGTATGGTCTCTGACTCAGTCTATTAGGGCATGAGCTCTGTTTTTATATTCAGGACAATGAAAAATAGAATGGACTGCAAAGCTGCATGAAAAAGCTTGATTAATGTTGGCATTATGGGGAGAGGTAGCACCACAGCTGCAAATACCTTTTTAGTTGATCATTAGCCGTGTCTCATCTCGAATACCCACTGCTATAAAATGCTAAGAATTCTTTTCTATCATTAATCCAGGCTTCCTCCTATTGCCAAGCATTCTTTCTGATTGAGCCACAGTGTTAACCCTTTAAACACATCTGCGTTGCAACCTCAGAGCAATATATGAAAATTTGGATCCCATCTCTACAATCTTGGAAAAATTATTCGCTACTTTAAACACTGACCGACCTTTATTTTACTGACGCTGATAGTCAAATCACCTGCTGAAAGCCCAAGTGAATAGACTTTGACCTCTTGACATACAGGGAGCTCAAATTACACTTCCTAACTCATTTGGGACTATGGAATAAAAGTTTGGAGTTTGCTTAGAACTAATCTACCAGCCTACAGTGCTGCCGTAACAGATACTAGATGCAAAAATGCTCTTTTTGGTCTATATAACTCTGCGGTATTTGCATGCATCAGCCCAGTCCTTCAAATTCTATCTTACCCTTATCCAACATAATCCTGAAGTAAAAGGCAATTTGAAGACAGCTTCTACAGGAGGAAGAAGAGGCTACTTAGAACTCCACTGTCGTTCTCAGAAACCTCTGATTTTTATTGCTTGGGACTGCGCTAGTATGCATACGGCGTGGCTTTAATCTACTGTGGACACACCACCATACAGGGGCTACTTCTGCCATGGAAATGGTTCAGTGCTACAGAAGGATTTCTCTTTACACAGACTATAAAGAGCTGGTTTGGTTTTGTTTTTTTTTTTTACATTTTCATAATTCATTTAATAACCAAGCATTTCTCCAGAGCATAAGAGAAATGAAAGTGTATCTATGTGCCTGCACTCAAGCAGTTAGGAGAGAGGGAAGGTCTTGCACAGAGAAATGACTAGAAGAGAACAAACAGTCGTTAGCAGTAAATGGTCAGTCCTTGCAATAATGAGAAGTCACCAGAGGTGTTCTGCAAGGTGTCTGTGCTGGCATCCATACTGTTCAACATACCCATAAATGAGTTGGAGAAGTGGTTGAGCAGTCCAGCAACAAAGTTTTCTGATGATCTGAAGGTATTCAAGGTGATAAGGATGACGACAGACTATGAAGGATGGCAGAAGGACTTTACAAGACAGCATGTCAAGGCAATAAAATGGCAGGTGAAATACAACAAAGATGATGAATTTAAAGCGGTATATGATAGATAGTTCCATGAAAACATCATCTCACTGCTCAGCAGCAGTCAAAAACCCAAATAGAACCTTAGGAATTATTAGAAAAAGAGAACAAATCAGAAAACATCCTGGTGTCGTACAAATTCATGGCTTGCCCGAGCCTTGAATTATCTGTGCAGTTCTGGTTGCCTCATGACAAAAAGAGTATGTTAAAATGGGAAAAGGTTCAGAGAAGGGTAACAAAGATGATCAAAAGGTTGTAATGAACAACAACTGAGTAGGGTAGGTATGGAAGCGCTATGAAAAAGATGTACAGAATCATGAGTGCGTAGAGACTGACCATTTACTCTCTTCTAATAAAAGTACTAAACACCATCAAAAGACAGAAGTAAGAGTCAGGATCAAAGCAAACGAAAGAGTAAGACTTCCTAGCAATATGTGATGATGTATGGAACTCCTTGCCACATTAAGGATGTGAATGCAAGAGGAATACACATTCAAAGGGAAACTCCACATGTTCATGGAAAGAGCTAAACCCGATAGCTCAGGAAATCCCCAGAATGGAAAATAGTTGGAGACTTGAAGCAGAAGGTATTACGTATGTTGCCGTATGTGTCCCTAGGCATCCACTTGTCACCACTGCTGGAGACAGAGCACTGAACTAGATGGACCCTTCGCTTAAACCCATGTGGCTCTTCTGATGTTCTTACAAATAACCCTTCCGAGAATCACATTCATTATCAGTAACTACAACCCCAGACATCCTTCTCAAAGCAAACACAATACTTATGTCCCTCTATTTAAGAGAAAAACAAAAAAGTATGTGGTGTTTCAGCATAGCTCAAAGTACTTGCATGAAGATAAGAGCCAACAGTTAACTAATTAATGACTATATTAATTAATATATCCTTTATACCGGAAGTCAGTGATCACTTAGGTCAATGAACATTAAAATAATTCATTTAAATATTCTTTCATTGCCATCAGCTAGTATTAATGTTAAATAAGAAGACTTGACTCTAGGTTCGTTTACGCGTAATATGGCAAATTAAGACTGTAATAACTTGAGTTGAAAAACAGCATGCAACAGCTTCTTTTAAAAATAATTCCGATGCTCAGTTCTGCTAGTCAGCAGGATTGAATTACAAATGTTACTGTCTGCATGTTGAAATATCTTCTGCAAAAATGAGAAGCCTTCTAAAAGCAATCCCATCTAAGTATCATATTGTTATTTTTTCCCTAGATGTCTGGCAGGTGTAGGCCATTACCCAGCAGAGATAGGCTCAGGGTTAACTTTATTGTGTAATGCCTCAAATGCCCTGGGATATGCAATGTAGCCTTGCAAAGGGCACATATGTAGCTCTCTAAATGCTGTATATCATTCTAATCCATGGAGAGTATAATGGATCTCCTCTGAAGGGTGTAAGATTTTCTACTCAAACTGAATATTAAAACATGTGTGCTCTCAAAACAGTTATTTGGCAACAGGTGTTAATTTTAATTTGACTATATGGATTTTGCATTATGCAATATTTGATGTTTTTTCTGGGAGCATCAAGATACATTCTTTACCACCAGAAGGAACTGCTATTAGAAAACTGTGAAAAGTTGAGCTATAGATATGAAAATGTTACTTATCTAGAGTTTGCCACAGTTTTCTGTTGGTTTAAAAATGACAAAGTGGGAAAGATTGCAACTATTCGCATTCCTACAAATGCACGTGTGCATAGTTTGCATTTAGCTTTAATTAGGTCAGACTGCCAGTATGGAAAAAACAGATGAATTGCTGGACCACAGAGGCAGGACAGCCGCAGGCACTGAGGACAGCCTTTGCAATGACTCCGTGGGTATCCCATCATCTTTCCTCCTGGCTCTGGAAGGTTTAAGGTCCGTGCACATGTATTTCTTGACCTCCTCGCACTTGCTTCCAACATGGCTTGCCACTTGCACTGGTGGGTTTTGTTACGACTATATTTGTCTAGTGGGACAGGAACTAGATCAAAAGATGTTTGATCAATTCGAAGGTGGAAATGACTTCCAGTATGCTGTGGTATA